GCGCCGCCGCCAGGATGCGCTACGCCGACCCTTCGGCCAACCGCGACCTGCTGGGGAACCGAACTTTGCTCTTTATCTTCATCTGCGCCTTCGCCTTGGTGACCTTGCTGCAACAGATCCTGTACGGGAGGAACTACATCAAGAGGTCAGAAAGTCCGAGTGGCTGGGGGCGCGCGGGGCGCGCGGGCGAGTCCCCGGGGTTGAGCAGGTCCTGCGGGGGAGTAACCGTGGAGTGGGCACTTGGCCGAGAGCACCGGCCAGCCCACCTTGGGGCAAGGCACCCCGAAGCGCTTCTCCTCCCAGCCGGAGGCGAGGGGCCGGACAACTTTGTTCGGCTGGGGAAAATGGGGGTAGTTTGGAATTTGGAGCGGCCTCCCTAACGACAAATCCTTGGACTGCCAGGAACGGTGGCGAGGTGAGAGCGATGCCCCCTTCAACCCAGAGGTCCACGACTGTTCGGTCAACTGGGAGGCTTCCGTAGGAGTGGAGGGATCAAAACTGGATAGAACCACCTGAACTTTTGTGGGGACCCCCGGAAAGGCAGGGCGGGGGAACCTTCCCCCCTCCCACCCAGGAGCGTCGCGTGAGGTGGGGGTGGCAATGGCTCTGGGGAGATGCGACAGTGATGGTGAATTTTTATAATCCCATACCCATTGGACTTGCGAGGCGCACTATCTGCGCCCTGCCGGGATACATGTCTCTCCCAGAAGGCCAGAGCTGCGGCCGAAGGAGGCCATCCCTCGGGTGGGTTTCTCCTTTCTGCCCCGCCCCTCCAATACAGATCTCGGGGAAACTCCATTAAGAGCAAGCCCAGTGAGCGTTGTCGCTTATAAACTCGGGCTCTGTGTGCACAGGTCTGCCAAGCGCCCGCTTATCCGCTCCACAGCCTGAGGGAGACGCTTGGGGTCACCGGGCGGGTACTAGGAATGGAGGGGGTGCCTTGCATGCTCGCACCTCAGAGCTTCTTTTGGAAAGACCTCCCCCTCACCTCACGTCGCTGCCAACGTCTCCCCACGCTCACCACCCCTCCCCCAGGCTCATAGGAATAACATTTAAAAAGCCTTGCTGGCTACAGAAGCGCTGATCTTAAACGCCCACATCGTGAAGTGGTGGCTGGTTCCCTTTTATCCGCAAAGTAGCCGGCAGTCACCTGTGCCCCCAGTCAGTGCTGTGGCCGCCCCAGGGGTGAGGTGGAAGTAGGAAGGGGCGCAGGTACAGCGGTTCCACCTCCAGGGAACGCCCCCCAGAGCTGGCGTGCTGCCAGCGCTTTGTCTTGGGCATTTGCTCTGGCCACTACTGTTCTGATCTTCCCAGCGAAGGTTCTTGCCTAGTGGTTGGTGGCGGTGGAGGACATTTTTACAGTCTCCCTGCTCCTTGGATCCGATTGGGCCTGTCTCTTTTGGTTCCAGCCACCTCCAGAGATGACCCTGGGCAAGGGCAGCCAGCCTCCAGTGGCCTGCTGCAGCCCTGCAGGCGGCTGGCCCGCTGCTGTCTTGGCACTTGCTCTTCAGCAGGGCACCCAGAGCTGCTGGGGCAGCCAGAGCCCTTCTGCCTCATCAACAAGGGAGTGGATCCGTGCCCAGGGCAAAAGCCAACTCAACCACTAAGAGCTCTGTGGCAAAGCCTCCCTGGTCTTGGGTGGTTGGACTAGCTGCCTGGAGTTCAGTGTCTGTACCTGTCGACCTCCTTTCCTCCTCTGAACTCTCTCACTGCATCAGTCCATTCTGACTCATAGTGACTGTCACTCACAGCAGTGCCATTTGCAGGCCTTGCTCAGGAACCTGAGTTAATCCACTCCGCTTGGACGTTGCCATCCTGGAAGGATGTTGTTTGGAAAGGTGGTATAGCCCCTGGACACAGGGAGCTTGAAGTCACAAATGAGACAGGAAGTCAGGGTTCGCCTGTCTGACAGCTATTAAAAATGCAGATGTGATGTATGTATGGCTGGATTGTGATAAGAGTTGTACGAGCCCCCAATAAAATAGTTTTTAAAAATGCAGCTTCCTGGGTCCCTGAATCCTACTCTCCCAGGATGGGGTCCAGTCACCTCTCTTTCAATAAGCTCTTCAGGTGACTTTTTAAATGCCTGCTATACTTAAAGACGGCTGTTCTTGACCAGTGGAGGAGCCCTCGTGGTGCAGTGCTTATGTGTTGTGCTGTGACCTGAAAGGTCAGCAGTTTGAATCCACCAGCTGCTCCAGGGGAGAAAGACAGAGCTTTCTACTCCTGCAAACAGTTACAGTCTCAGAACCTCACACAGGCCAGTTCTACCCTGTCCTATAGGGTCACTATGAGTTGATAACGACTCAATGGCAGTACATTTTTTTTTTGGACTAGTGGTTCTCAATGGAGGATAATGTTGTCCCCTAACTAATGCCTGAAGACATTTATTTGAGACATTTTTGTGTGTATCAACTGTGACAAGGATGTACCCCTGGCATCGAATGTGTAAAGTCCAGGATCGGTGCTAAGTGTCTTATGATACACAGGTTTGCCCCCAGCCACACCGGAACAATGAATCATCCAGCCCCAGATGTCTGTGTTGCTGAGGTGGAGAAACCCTGCTCTGGACAGAAAGATCTGTCTATCAAGGAAGGACTTACTCTGTTTCCTTTCCTGCGCCTTGAGCATCAGCTATGTCCTTGGAATATAATACCGTTCTCAGTCAGCACTGGCTGATGAATGCATGATCGAGAGTGCCGTATGTGGGC